AGTTCATGAGCAGAGTGCGTAAATAGAAGAAGACTGATTTGAGCCTCATTGCACAAAGTGTTTTAGAATAACTTAACCCATTACAAGAAGCAGTAATGTTTATTTAATTTAAAGAAGTTAATTAATTGTTTATTTGGGTTTAGATTTTGAAGCACCAATGATTACAAAAAATATGCGATAATTTTGTCCATGACTGTATCATAAAAGTAAAAGAAGTAAAAGTGCTTCCATCTTTGAGTTTATAAATCGCCGCAGGGCATAGCAATCTGTCCGAAACAGGTAACAGCAGATACGGGACCAAGAGCTATTTATTTTTCAAATTTATATCGTTTGCCCATGCATATTTCATCCATTTTCCCCTTTTGCCTGGAAAAATCCTCCTCTTTGTGCGGACGCATAAATTTCTGGACCGTATCCCCCCAACTTCGGCAGTTTTTAGAAAGCGCGGTTAGAAAGAGCGTCAAGCATTTGAAAAATTATATTCAATCTGGTTTGTTCCGGTGCTGAACTGACCGCACCGTAAGAAAAATGCTGTTGCCGATTTAAAATCGTAGCGAGTGGTGAAAAATGATTTATTTTGTAAATCCGTTGACGATCGTATGCAGCAACTAACTCGCCCGGATAAAGCTCCTGCGTAGGATTTTAGGTTTGAATACGATTTCATAGCGATCCATGCACTTCGTGCATATTTTTCTGCGGCAGCGTTACCGGCCATTGTTAAGCTCTCTCCATCATTAAAGTCCAGTGAGGAAAAATTGAACAACTTTTTACTTAATTTTTTTTTGTTTGTTTTGACAAACGCATACAGTCAGTGAGTCGAAATATTTTGTTGCCGTCCATTGTTTTTATACATCAGTGAAGATTTGCTGTATTTTGTAAAATCCTCACCTCAGATTACACATTACACTTAACTGTTAGCCTGCCTCAACTACTACGCAAATGATCTATTATGAATCCCTCTATAGTTGCCTCGATAGCGGCTGCTGAACTCTCTATAAACTTTCTTCCGGTGCATATTCATTGCGAATATGGTCTTTACAGGATTTCTTGTTCCGAATAACTTCCCTTGCATTATGAGTTGTAACGTCGATACATTCGTTAAGCATAGTGTGGTTTCCAATCCATGAATTTTTATGGATTCTTCCACCACATCAACTGTATCGCAGATGCCTCCGTCATTGTCCAGAATGTTCCTAAATACAGGAGAATTTTTCGCGGCTTAGCAGGTCCGTTGGTTGCTTTTTGAGGGACTTCTGGACCTGCCTCTCAACCATTGCTGGCATGTATTTTTGGATGCCTGATTTTGCAGTGGGTTTATCCACCCCACCACAGAGATCATAGCAAACTATTTTATCGGTTCTTGTGCTCCGGTCCCATAACTTGCTATGTCGTTCAATACCTTATGGTAATCGGAAACTATCTTACATGCTATTTTGCTGGATTTTATTATCTTTTATTGTCGCTTGGCTCTCGGTGTAGATCTTAATTGTTTTACTAAGAATCTTTTTCCTCTTCATTTCTCTTGCAGTGTTCTACTGCTGCTTATAATGCTGTTGCTAGATTGTCCACTGCAGCAATTTTCCGTCCTAGGTTCATATATTCCTTCTTGAATTTTCGAATTAGAAATTGAAAAATAGACTATTTGGTATATACTCATTCATAGTTTCAGAATTCAGCAAGCAGCAAAAATTTTGGTAGTAATTTAAAGTAGATATTGAAAAAGTCAAACAACACTGTTTAAATCTACACTTATTCCGGACTAAACTAGACTGAAGTCCATGCGTATTCCAAGAAGACGGCACGGCGTCTTGCTGCCTAAAATTAACAGAGTTTTAAATTTGTTAAATTCCAATTTTAAGAATTTATCTCTTTGAGAATTGTCACTATTGGGTACACAACATACATGAACATATCATTTTTACTTTCTGATTTAAAAACGTTTGTTAAATACATAACAATAGCACGCTATTTTGAATGATATTCACTCCTACAAGACAAAAAAAGTCAAAGTAATATATCAGGGATGTTTGTTTTGACCCCTGAGAGGGAGTTCAATAATAGTGTCCTAAATCGAAATCAATATTGCCCGTTACTTCGTTTCAGTTGCGACAACGATACATCGCAATATGACACTCCTGTTTTGTCGGAGTTTACCTCTTGTAAGAAATAACAACCGCTACTTGTTTTCATACGGAAAATTTTTCCAAATTTTGTCGAACATTTTTAGAATCATGCAACAGAAATAAAAAAGTTGTTCAATTTTCCTCCGCCAGAAAAGCCAAAAGCAATACCAATTGTCTTGATCCTCGACCAGGATTAGCCGACGAAATAGACTGGCCATGGCGTGCAAACGATGGCATTTGCTGCAAACACAAGTCATAAAATAGTCATAGTAAAAACCTACTGACTTGATCTTCTCATCTACACATCCGCAAGGCGCGTCACAATACTAGCAGAAAGAGACAGACTATTAGGTTTGCTTCTCCCACATTTGTAACATAAACAAACAAAGCATATCACTAATATACTAAATAAATAATAAATAGTCTATTTCGGAAAGGTGCGTAGTAGTAGTGTAGTACCACCCGGGTTTGAGGTTCATTAATTATGACCTATTATTGTCCATTCACTAACTAAAATTTGGCTATATGTACAGTACCCTTATTTAATGACCTGTTAGGCTCCTTTCCGCCAGTTTTCTTTTATATCACTCTTTCAGTTGTTTGATCAAACAGTAGCATAAGGTCTTTCGGAATTGTCATCTCTTCTTGAAGTTGTAATTAACGGCAATACAATCCGATTTATAGAGTAATCAAGATCCCACATTCTTTGGTGACCTGCTAGGCTTCTTTTTGCCAGTTTTCTTTTATATCACTCCCTCAATGGTTTGATCAAACACTACCCTAAGATCATCTCTTCTTGAAGTTATAATTAACGGCAAGACAATCCGATTTATCAAGAATTCAAGATCCCATATTCTTTAATGACCTCCTAGGCTTCTTTTTGCCAATTCTCTCTCCCTCAGTGGTTTTATCAAACAGTAGCATAAGGTCTTTCAGAATGGTCATCTCTTCTTGAAGTTGTAATTAACTTCAAGACAATCTGATTTATAAAGTAATCATTCTTTAATGACCTGCTGGCATCTTTTCGCCACTTCTCTTTTGCGTCACTCCCTCAGTGGTTTGATCAAACAGTAGCATAAGGTCTTTCGGAATTGTCATCTCTTCTTAAAGTTGTAATTAACGGCAAGACATTCCGATTTATAAAGTAATCAAGATCCCACATTCTTTAATGACCTGCTAGGCTTCTTTTCGACAGTTCTCTTTTGCGTCACTCCCTCAGTGATTTGATCCAACAGTAGCATAAGGTCTTTCGGAATTATCATCTCTTCTTGAAGTTGTAATTAACAGCAAGGCAATTCTATTTATCAAGTAATCAAGATCCCACATTCTTTAATGACCTGCTAGGCTTCTTTTCGCCAGTTCTCTTTTGCGTCACTCCATCAGTGGTTTGATCAAACAATAGCATAAGGTCTTTCGGAATTGACATCTCTTCATGAACTTATAATTAACGGCAAGACAATCCGATTTATCAAGAATTCAAGATCCCATATTCTTTAATGACCTGCTAGCCTTCTTTTTGGCAGTTCCTTTTTGCGTCACTCCCTCAGTGATTTGATCAAACAATAGCATAAGGTCTTTCGGAATTATCATCTCTTCTTGAAGTTGTAATTAACAGCAAGGCATTTCTATTTATCAAGTAATCAAGATCCCACATTCTTTAATGACCTGCTAGGCTTCTTTTCGACAGTTCTCTTTTGCGTCACTCCCTCAGTGATTTGATCAAACAGTAGCATAAGGTCTTTCGGAATTATCATCTCTTCTTGAAGTTGTAATTAACAGCAAGGCAATTCTATTTATCAAGTAATCAAGATCCCACATTATTTAATGACCTGCTAGGCTTCTTTTCGCCAGTTCTCTTTTGCGTCACTCCCTCAGTGGTTTGATCAAACAGTAGCATAAGGTCTTTCGGAATTATCATCTCTTCTTGAAGTTGTAATTAACAGCAAGGCAATTCTATTTATCAAGTAATCAAGATCCCACATTCTTTAATGACCTGCTAGGCTTCTTTTCGCCAGTTCTCTTTTGCATCACTCCCTCAGTGGTTTGATCAAACAATAGCATAAGGCCTTTCGGAATTGACATCTCTTCTTGAACTTATAATTAACGGCAAGACAATCCGATTTATCAAGAATTCAAGATCCCATATTCTTTAATGACCTGCTAGCCTTCTTTTTGCCAGTTCCTTTTTGCGTCACTCCCTCAGTGGTTTGATCAAACAGTAGCATAAGGTCTTTCGGAATTGTCATCTCCTCTTGAAGTTGTAATTAACGGCAAGACAATCCGAGTTATCAAGTAATCAAGATCTCACATTCTTTAATGACCTGTTAGGCTTCTTTTCGACAGTTCTCTTTTGTGTCACTTCCTCAGTGGTTTGATCAAACAGTAGCATCAAGTCTTTTGAAATTATCAACTTCTCTTGAAGTAATTACCGGTTCCATTTTTCAAGTAATTAAAATACCACTTTTCCTCCTCTTCTTCAATGACCTGCTTGACTGCTTGTGGTAAGGTATCTATTTTGTGTCACCACATCAATGGCATGATCAAACAGTAGCTTAGGTTACAAGTCCTTTCACTTGCGCCCAGAGAAGTCTATTTCGTCGGCCTCGCTTTATTGGCTGTAATTTTATATTCAAATGAACCTTCAAAAGAGTCGGCAAAGAGCAGAATTACATAAAGAAGATTTTAGAAGAAAAGAAAAAAACTTGACCTTTTAGAAAAACGAAATGAGCAGACTTCTCGACCATAAGTAGTAGTGTTTTAATAAGTGTTTTCCAGTTTTCTAGCAAAAGCTTTTTTTTATTGAAACTCCCATTGTTTTATATTTTTTGTTTATGTAATATAATATAATTCTATTGTATTGCTGATTCTCGTGTACAGGAGCACGCGGACTATATTTGCAGAGTAGGAAAGGTGCAAAGGATGCACAATATACTTAAGGAACACGAAATTCTCGAGCAGGCCGTTTATGTATGTCCCGATTTATTATATTGTATTTTAGGTGTACTAATTGTTTGGCAATTATATACAGAGTAACCGCTAAGTATTGTTCATATGGTCAGCAAATACGCTGCTAGAAAATTTTGGAATTTGCTTCTATAAAACCTACGAAAAATCCTACTGCAATACGTAATACAATCGGAAGCGGGTTTAAATTTCATTCCTCAATTGCAGTACGAATTTTTGTGTTTATCAAATGGTATGCTTGCTTTTAAAGCGCTAATACGCGAGTATTTACAATTTTACCGAATTGAAATCGAAACTTCGTTTAAAACGAAGAAACTAAATGGCAATTTCGGTGTCGATTCCTGCTAGAAATACATAAGTGCCGTTAAAGTATACGTGACGCATAGAACCAGCAACTAAGACATTTTGCAGTAATTAATGCTTTCATATTTCATCCTGAAGTGACCTGTACATATTTTGCAGTATCAGCGCAATCGCTTCCTACAAAACCAATTGAAAAAAGTATCGTATACGATTTGTGAAATCAACTGCCAGAGATTTTTTCTGTTTGTGTAAATATCGTGCTTCGCAAATTATAATTTTACCCGCTTATTTTACAGAACACCAACAAAAAACCACTGAAACACCCACTTTAATATTCCAAAAGTAAACTGAAATTTTCAACAAGCATTTGTAATTAGCCTGAGAGTGTAGTACAAAATTTACTTGATTTGCTGCACACGTGCGTGGTTTATGAAACAGCGGAACAGTTTGGAACTCTTCTTTGGAGCTTCGTATAGCGTGGTTCGTTTATGCGATCAGAACCTGCAGAAAATATTTAAAAAAGTAAAAATTGTTTGACTACACTTGTACTTTTTAAATATTATACTTTGTTTTATACAGTTTATCTGTACTTTTGTAGACAAAAAATCAACTATCTCATCTTAAAAAGAACTGTACACTAGGTCGGTCTCACAGGAAATCCTAAATATGTCACGTATATAATATTTCTTAGAATTGCCGACTCTGATTTTTAATTTCATGTGTTTTTTATATAGTAAAAGGGCTAAAATATGGAACCAACTCATTTTTCAGAAAAAAAGGCCACTGTAATACTATTTACAAATCTTCTGGATTTCTAATGCATGAATCGAACTTGCTGACGTTTCGTCAATCGTCCTGTTGGCTCCTTCAGAGCTTCTAATCTGTACCTGCTGATATACTGTTTGAGGGAGGAGGAGCTAACAAAGGGGCATAAACATAGCCTCGGATGATTGATTCCCACATTGCTGAAAGACCTGAGCCGCGGTTAATATTGTTTGGTTGCTTATAGATCAAGATCAAGATATAGATCAAGCATTCTTCGTTGTAGAAGAATTCATTACATCCAAGAATTTTAATTTTATCGAATAAAATTTGATGCCCGGTTAACAGATCGAAGATGTTGAGAGGTTTTTAGGCAAGTGGTAAATTTGATATGTGCTCAGTGACGTTTTGACTGTAAGGAAGGACAACAGTGGCAAGTGCGGGGTGTCTTTGGAAGGTTGTGGTAAAGTGAATATTGTGATGGAACGAATATACAAATTATTAAAGACAGGAGCAGATGTAAGATGTTTTAGTTCTCGGTCCAGTGACTCGAATTCAGATAATTTTACGACTCTGAAAGCAAGAAAGTTGATAACCGATGATTTTTGGGCCGAATGGTGATGTGACAATACATTAAGGAAAGTATCGATCTGTGTGGGTAGGTTTTCTGTAAACAGAGTGATCTAATAGTAGGTCTGATTTTCTATTGATAAGAATGTCTAAGGATGGGAGATTATTATTTTTTTCGAATTCAATGGTAAAACGTGTGTTAGGTTGTATTGAGTTTAAATAGCTAACAAACAAAATCTTGGAGGGATTTTTCACCATGATTCTAAATAACAAAAGTATCATCAATGGTGCGTCCAATATTTTGGTTTCAGATTTAAGGTGTCGAGGGTTTTCTCTCAAAGGCTTGCATAAATATAATTGCGATGACTGGTCCCGACGATTGTTCAAAAACTTGATCGTTCTAAGAAAAAATATGTTCCAGACAAGCATTTTTCGTTTAAGATGAGAAGGTTTGGTTCCAGATTTTCATCGAAACTAGTCACAATATCCTATCCATTGAATCTATAGAAATCTATAAACAACCAGACAATCTTGACCGTGGTTTACCAGCCACCAATCTAGGAATCAGTCACCCAAGACGATGCTTACGCCCCTCATTTAGCGTCCCTTGAACAATATGTACTGAAGAAGTCAACAGGGTGATTGACGAAACGTCAGCAAGTTCGATCCATCAACAGCCGAAGCAGGAGGGATCCAGAAAATTTGTAAATAGTGAAACAAAATCATTTAAATCAGATATTCAAAGTATTTCAAGAAAAATGTTCGCACAGGTCATCATACATTTTCCATGAGTCATTCCTAAATTGGATGAAATACAAAAACGACTTTGGTCTTTAAAAGTAATGTGATAGCGGTGTTACTGAATATAATTATAATAATAGCGACATTGAGATATTAAGATCAAGTAAATAAAAACATTATACAAAATAATATGAAAATAGATACGTAGTAATAAAACTTACTATGTCCAATGAAATAATATGGGGCTCTGCAGTGCTTTTAGCATTTTATCAGTTTCCATATTCTTTTTGCACGAGTCTGTTTTGATTGTAAGGCTAGTAAGCTACCACCGACATATTTATTTTTGCTTCCAATGCGATGAATGTTTTAACTTTTTCCGAGATGAGCAAACGATCCTTCCATGGAAGCTTGCCTGGCGCTTTTTAAATTTTTATCCAGCCATATTATAATAACCGCATATACTTTATTTACTCATTCATCTGGATAATAGATATTTCTGTTTTCCCTTGGCAACTGTCTAACTACTTTCAAGTATCGTCGTCGCCAGCATGTAGTTTCTTTTTTCTTTATTTAAAGTGATTTTCTGTTTTGAGTTTTTTTTTATAAAGGTAATTTATGTTCTTCAAAATATTCCACAATTGCTTCTTACCCATGGGTGAAAAAAAAACATTCCCATTTCAAACATTATTTTGTCCTTTTTTATTTACAGTTTATTTTCTTCCCGTACTCCTCTTTGGTGTCCTGATAAAACCGTGTTCATCTTCGTGGACAAGTCGATATATTGTTTACTGTCCAACCGTAGCCATATTCGAAAACATTTCAAATACTTTGGCAACCCGGAATATCGAATATATAGTTTTTCATAGTTTTCTTGTCTATCTTCATATTTTCAGGGCATGATTTGATCAAAATTTAACATAATTGCTCGTAATTTATAAGATTTTAAAGATATGCTAAACCACTCTAAATAATTAATAGCAGTTTAGCATTATTTTTGAAATCTACAGTTTTTTTCAATAAAAAAAAATGTTAAGTGCGATAACATTATAAAAATAGTTTCCGTTTGCAAATAAATAAGACTTTTATCCATTTATCCATTTAAATTTTTTGTGTTAGTCTTAAAATATCAACATAGTCGACTGAAGTCCTGTTTTATAAGGTCAATAACCCCAAATATACAAAAAAAGGCTACAGTTTTGAAAAATCGATAAATATATTAAGATCTGTGAACGTCACTTATGACCTAAATAGCAAAATATGTCAAAATCGGAAAGGTCTAGGATATGGATATGGATACTAAGTGAAATATGTCCGAGGTATTCCAAAATGCCTTAATACGCAGATATCGTTGAAAGTAACAGAGTCATTACTTGTCCACGAAAATACAAAAAACCAGTAACCCACAATATTTCAGAAAAACTCTTGTCTGTAAGTTATTCCGATGTCTTTGCCGTCCTAATTCATATTTTTTATCGGTTTTGAGGACGCCATATTTTAGACAAAACCAAAAATTCAAATTTGCAACTCCAGCTGCGTGAGCGAACCATTTTGTTTTCAAGTCCGTGAAAGTAGCTCCAATTTAATCACTTATTGGTCGTACGTTTAGAACTTTTTTCAATTATCCCATCCGCTTGAAAATTGCTATACCGGCAATTAGCGAAAAAGCATGCCATGCTGCTCAAATGCACCACCCTTTACCTTAAAAAACGCTTTTAAAGATATTAAAACGAAAATTTCTCGTTACGACTAGTCGATGTTGTGCAAATGTATTAACTCTCGTTTATATTTGGAGCACTTTTGTTTAAAATTATTTCACTGCAATTAAACATTTTATTGCATAAATCCACATATCCACAAATATAAATCCACATATCCAAATCCAAATGTTTGTAATACCTCAGCATACTGCTAGTAAGAAGTTACCATTTCTCATCTCACTTATTTCAGAATTTTCGTCATTTTCATTATGTATTTTACAATCACATTTTCATAAAATTAACAATACTTTGTTTTTTGCCATTGGCATTCTTTTAGATTACAGGATTTTCCAAAAAATTTCATCCGAACAAAATTAAGTCATATTAAAGTAGGTCATATTTTTTGCCCTCCAAACATTCAATATTATGCATGCAAAATACCAAAAGCAGCGAATGAAATGAAGAAAAAAAAATTATAGTATTTATTTATTATATATAGCTAAATGTTGACGATGTTGATAATGTTGAAGGTATTTCTAAATAACAAGTAAACATTAATGTAATCATAAAAATAATTAACCATTTTAACAACTAGATTGTATTCCACGTATTCCAAGAAAACAGAAAAATTAAAAACATATGCAGCTGATGAATTCAATTCAACTGATGAAAAGTATTTTATATACTGTTATTATGAACTGAATATAACTCAAAAATGTATTAATTGACTTAATAGTATGAAATGATTATTGAAATATCCTGACGTCTCAGCTAAAAGTTTCCTCCTCAGGACGTTACCACTACGCTGAAGATAAAGTCGATCTTATATTGATCTATCGGCAATTAATGAATTTGCGGAATTAAATTCATTTAGAAGTTTTTCAGTTATTTTGGAACAGTGTTAATTCATGGTCAGACCTGGGTAAGACA